TATTTCACAATATTGCGAAAGTTATTACGTAATATTACGGTTTTCTTACGCTTCGTAAATTATTGCGCAATATTACGGCCTATTAAATTTGCTGATGTAGTTTATTAACATTCATCAATAATCTCTTTGCTCGTTTGTACAATAATACTTTACTATTTGGTGGAATCAAAGTCCTATTGGTTAGTGATCTTGTACAACTACCTCCTGTAAGTAGTGCCTAGGTATTTTGATCACCTATTTGGTCAGAATTTTTCTCCATATTTTTATTAACACCTCGCAGACAAAATGAAGATATGATTTTTTACAGACTATTAAATAAAATTCGATCTGGTATAATATCAACTAATACATTACAAGCAATTGAAGATAAAATAAGATCATCATCTTCACATTCCTTTATTGATACTAACACTTAGTTGGATTCTGTGCCATGGCTAGTGATGGAGATTCTACCAAATTTCAATTTTCCTACCAGTATTTACTGGTAGATAGTAGCTACTATTAGCTACTACTACCGGTAGTATAGCAAACTTTCATTATAATTAGCTAATTTTTCTACCTATATATGGGGTTGAGTCAATAGAAATCAAGCAAATTTTTTTTAGTAAGGTTTTTTATAATTTTAAACAAGAATAACTTAACAAAAACTTGATTAAATTTAATAATTTTTTTTTTAAATTAATTCTACAAGTATGTAAAAATTATTTAAAAAAATTTTTATTAAATTTGATCAAGTTTTTATTAAATTATTCTTGTTTAAAGTTATAAAAAAATTTTATTATAAAAAATTTGCTTGATTTCTATTGACTCACCTCCATATATATATAAAGCATGCTGTAATCAACCAATCAGATTTAATAAACTACTAACTATCTACCAGCTATCTACCACTTTATATTATTAACCTCACGGTAGCTACCGGTATCTACTGGTAATTACTAGTAGTAGATAGCTACCAGTAGCTACCAACTCACTTTACTTCCATGGCGGATAACATAAATAAATTAGCTTGTCTAACCTTACCTCAAGAACCAGAATATCCCGATCCTATAATATCAACTGCCGTGGACTATATTAATGACCAAGAATACAATACATTAGATAATGATCGTAATTTTCGCCAGCATACAAATCTATCCATAACCTTAATCCTACAAAAAGGTACCCATGTCATGTATTTTGATAATACCTTATTTGACTATAGCCTTTGTAATGGATCTGTTGGAATCATCATCGAATTAATTGATGATGACTCAGTCGATATCGTATTTCCAACACCGCAAAGAATGATTACGGCAACTATAAAAAAAATAACTAAACATTTCTATTAAATGGATTTCTATCAAGTAGACATCAGTTTCCTCTTCAAAATGCATTTGCACTTACAGTGCATAAAATACAAGATTTAACCATACCTAATATTTCTGTTGCTATCGATGAACAAATATTTGCATATAGCCAAGTATATGTTGTGCTTAGTCAAGCCCTGTCGTGGAATTCATTAAATATTATATCATTCGATCCTGCTTATATAATAACTGACCCAGAAGTTATTAGAGAATATGATTGATTAACTTTGTTATATAATAATAGTTTAGGCAACTTTATGCAGCATTTTTCTTAACTTTATATATTCACTCATTACATAATTTTAAAAAAAAGTAATTACCATACCCCATTCTACACCTATATCTCTTACAAATCTGCAAAATTAACTATTTTTACTGATTTTTCAAATAAATCCAATTATTTTACTTACAAACCCAATTTTCTTTTGTTTGATTTCTCTTCTTAAAATACTGTATCTAATAATACACAATAATTACTACATTTTAATTAAATATTAGTAAGAATTTTTGGTCTTTTTTCTACAAGTTATGAAATATCATGACTTACGAAAGTTATATAATAAATATTAGCTCTTAGTAGTTTCCGCTTTAATACCATAAATTCATAATAAATAAGTCAACCTCAAAGACTCTTGTTCCTCTATAATCTTCTCGTTCTTATAATTTTGATTTTGAATAAAAAGTAAGATATCGTATATCAATTAATAATCAATCATCTTTTATAATAAACTTCTAATTTATTAAACTATTAATCAACATCATTGATCACTTAAATATATTATACGTGATTATAATTTCATCTCACTTGATCCGTGACAACTTTAAGAATCTTGATTATCAAACTCAACTACTGAAACCTGTAGCACTAAGATTTTGAGAAAAAAAATCTCTTTTAATAACCTATCCATATACTATTTAAACAGAATCTCAACATAATATAAAGCAGTATTGGAAAATAACTAGTCATTTGACTTGAAATGACCAAATGACCAAAATAATGACCAGTCATTTGGTAATTTGGTCATTTAAATCTAGAGTCTTTTAGAAGTTACACAAACCAAAATTAGCAAATATGGTTGGTTTCTATATAGAAGTCACAATAATTCGATACAAGCTAACTTGACCTTAAATACATCATCAGCATGGTGGACAACCCCGAATTTGGATGATCGACATTGTGGCTTAGCCAATTTAGTAAAAAATTTTTTTGATTTTTTATACAGTTTAAAGTACTTCGTATTTTCGTGATTTTTTCGAAACTTACCAATTAAGTTCACTCCAAAAAAAGAGCTAGCGAAAGTTCTTTGCCTGCCCTATCTTACTTTA